GTTGACAGCTTTAGCCTGGTTTTCTCCTCAAGTCATCATCATGATATCTTTCCATGCCTCTCTGAGCAACTCCATGTGCGGAAGCCTGGTCTGATGCTCTGATCTCAAGCTTTCAGTTGCCCAAAAGCGGCACGAAACCAGACAGACCCCTGCAGCCTGGCACCAAACGTGCAGTGCAGGCAGACTCTGCCTGATGTTTTCCTGAGTGCTTAAAGCCAGCTTTGGTTTGCCTTCAGCTAAACTCTCAAGTCAGATAAGGTTGGGTTGCTGCTTCTAAAATCTGGGACGTGGACAAGGTGGAAGGAGTTGCAGCCCCAGCTGTGAGATGCAGAAGGAGGCAGTCTTTACCTCTGGTTGGACAGAGCAGAAGTCACCTGGATCTCTTGACAGAGTTAAAAGCCATCACAATCAAGAGTGTGGGAAATAACTGCAGATGCCACTGCCCCCGGGGAAGTTGCTGAAGCACTTGGAGCCACTCGGCTCTGTCACGGAAGTGCAAAATAGCCCTATTAAATCCCAATTCTGATAGAACCCTCAACCCCCTCTTTCAGGGCCACTTGGGGGCCCCTCCAGCCCTGCTTGGTGCCTCCTGTCTGAACCACTTGGTTGAGAATGTAGCTCAAGCTCTTTGGAAAAGTTCAAATGTTTCCTCAGCTGCTTTTCTCCATTTTTTTTTAAGATTGACATTTTTATGTCAACAAATGTGTCTTAGTAAGACGCTATCATCATGTTTTTCAAAGTAAATTGTGAATCCGTAGGATGCTCCTTGACTCCTTCAAGTCTATATCGTTTCCTTTCTTCTAGTGCTTTACATTTTATGAACTTCCAAATGGGATTTAAGCAACTGCAAATTAATCTCGCTTGGCAGTTTATTGGTTCAGGCTCCTGCCATCCCCAAGATTTTGTTTCTGATCAGCCCCCAGGAGGCAACGAAAGGAACCACGCAGAATAAACAGCTCCTTGAGATGACGTGCAGCAGAGCTGCACTCCATAACGTGAAGCACATGCTGTTGAGCATGTGGATTTATGCTGCAACGGGCATCTATAAATCATATGTCTGGCTATGCAGTCCTTCTCCTGCAGGCCTCGCAGCTGGAGCTCATTAGAATGGTATTTTGAAGAAGATCTGTGATCTGAAAATGATGGAGCAAACTTCCTGCTATCTTTCATGGCAATTTGAGGACAGATTCTGTGATTGTTGAGTGGTGAGTCAAGTCCTCTGCTTTGGCAGTGATTAGAGGGCCTTTGTCTAGCTTAGTCCTTGTTCGAAGTGGAGGAGGAAGGGGTTGCAGATTCAGCCTTCTCTCTTCTGTGCCACCGGAGTAGTGCCATGAGACAGTAGGATCAGGAGAGGATCCGGAGTCCACAAAATTGCCTTCACTTCATCCTGATAAAAGCAGAGACCTTCGGGACCCTCCCAGGATCAGGACCTTCAGCTGTGCCATGAAGAGCTCTTGCAGGACTGCTCCTGACTTGTCCTCTTGGCTCCCATTGCATTAGCAATGCTAAAAGCCCCAGTGCTTCACACAGTCCTTCAAAGTGTAAAACAGTTTCCCTTCAGCTGACCTAGAGTCAAACCTAGTGCAAGTCACGTTTCAGCACGGGTTGGGGTGTTGTGGAGGTAGACAACGCACCTTATCTAGTTTAAATGCCCAACTTAATAAAAGTAAGAGTGAAGGTCATGAGATAGGGCCAGCAGCGCACGTTTGACACAAGCAAAAGGCGTCCTCAAGCTTTCCTGCAGTGCTGGAGAGCGACAGCTCCAACACTGCCCTCTGGTTCCACCAAGCCTTCTTCTGAGCTCAAGGACTGAAATATGTTTTTGTAAGAAAGTGGAATTTCCTTTTTCAGTACTTTTTTTTCCCCTCCTTTTCTTACAAGAGATTGAAGCTATTTTTAGATGACCTTGCCTGGACATCTCCTATCTGCTGTGTATTTGACCCAGGAGCATTTCATTTCCCACAGATGTTGTTTGCACTTCCAGGTCCTGGAGGACTGTATAAAGTTGAGGAGAGGCTGTGCTCGGAGTTTGTAATCCCAACGGGTCAAAATGTTTAAAGAGGTTACAGGCTCTTCAGGGCGAGTGTTTAAACTCCACCTGTCAAAGCACTTGGGTGGAAGAAGACTCAGACAGCAGCAGATTAAATTGCTGTCTTCTCATCTTTAATTAACTAGCACTTGTTCTCACATTACCCTAAAAAAGGTATCCAGCTACAGCCCATTTATACCTATCAAAGTTTATAAATTTGAGAAGCCACAACTTGGCCCGCAAGCACATCAAGAAGGTTCTTGGCAAAGGCACCAGAAAGTCTGAGGGGCCTAATATTCTCCAAAGGTCACCTTAGGGACTTCAGATCTTCCTCGTGCTCAGAGGCAGCCTTTGCACACAAAAAGGAGAATACTGGTAAATTGAGCTGAGCTTTTTCTCAAGGGTTAAAGAAAAAAAAAATGAAAACAAGGAAGTTTGGTATCCCGGTTTTCCAGGAAACCTCAGTGTCGTTCCCTGACTCTATTGTTTAGCATTTCTGTACATAATATAGATGTAAATCTGATAAACCAAGTGCTCTGTGGATTGTTTTGTTCCCCTTCCACGTAGGAGAGCCCATCTACAAGCAGAGCAGCAACACAAGGGGTGTCTGCCGAGCATCTGAGGTCACTCCTCCACCTGCTTGAAAGAAGGTGACCCCACTGTCAGTGTAGGGCAACGGGGAGGCTGTGGTGGAGGCAATGCCGGGTCTAGGACACAAAAAGTAACATTTCCATTGCCTGGAGATTGATTGACAAGAAACGGATAACAAAGACAGCGCATGGTGGGACATGGGGGATTTTCACTCAAACAGCTTTTCCATGGCCAAAGGGAGTGTCGAAGCTCAGATTCCTATAAGCTCATGTCTGTGTCCTTGGCAGTCCCTGCAGTAACAGGCCATTCAAGTCAGTTTAGTGCTTCCTCATCCTCAAAGACACTTAAGATGCTACCCCAGATGTCATCTCTGATGCCTTCTCTCTCCTCCCGAAATGCCCTCAGCTATCTCCCATGCTTCCAGTATGGTGGTAAGCAACATAAGATGGCTTGTTTGGTGGAGGGGATTTCATTTTCTGAAGCTGGAAAATGAACAACAATGTGTTGTTCAAGAAGGAAAAAAACCCACAAGAGCAGTAATCTTGGTACTTCCACTCTTGATTGACATACACCCATGGGACCTTTACCAGTATGAGGAAAGGACAACAACTATTATGGTGCCACAAAGTCTGCCTTCTCCTCTCAGGCCAGATCAGCCAGAACACAGAAAGCAAAAGAAAAAAATCACAGAACCACAGGACATTTGAGATTGTGAAGGTATCTCAGAGTACTTCCAGACATCCAAAATATTCCAGCTAAAGTAGAATGCAACATAAGCACTTGGCCGAAGGAGGCTCGAGTCCATTGCTTCCCAGGAGCACAATGCTCAGCATGATTCTGTTTGCTCTTTACCTGGGTAGCAAGACACGCGCTGCTGCGGTTATTGCTCAAGGTGTGAGAAGTCACCGTGGAGCAGGTGCCAACGCGCTCCTGCAGTGCCAGAACGAGAAAGGGAGCGGGTGACACTTGCCACCTCATGGGAGCTGCTCCTTCGCAGAGACTAGTGCATGCAGGAAAAAAAGGAGAAAGTCAAAGAAGTCCCTCTTGAAGAACTCAAGCTGGTGGAAACTGGTGGTCCGGGTTCAGCCTTAAGCATCTTTCCAGCTTGATTCTGAAAAAGGACACAAGAGAAAGCCCTGGGATGTCTAAGCCTTCCCCAGATTATGTGAATGCCAGCAACTTTTGGGTGCACAAGGGACAGAAACTCATTCACAGGCTCTTCACCAGCTCTTTGCTATCAGCAGCCTCCTCTTAGAAACTTCCATGGCCTGTACACAACCCCCTTCCCACCCACACACATTCCTCTCTAGCAGCGTTGCTTTTTTTGGCTTATCGGCCTTATCTTTTTGTTAAAATGACTTAATTGGTGCATTTAACTCCTTATGGTCCTTCGCAGTCCAGCTGGTATCACTTGTTTACAGCCCAAAACAGCAGTCACAGCCTAAAGGTTGACATTCCCCAACAGCATCTAACCAGAGAAGGGTCTTGGTGGTTGCAGCGGTGGACGGTGTTGGCTCCATCAACACAAGCCTGTCAAAGCTGCACGTGACGTGGGCATCTCCTGCAATCAGGGACTTCTCTCTGAAGATTTGCCAGCACCCTAGGGAGAAATCAGAAGTCATTCAGTTTTCTTTTTTTATTGACAAAGCTCTTTATGTTAACATAAAGCAGGCTGCAATGAAGTGCATCGCTTTTACTGCCTTTATGCTGCCTGAACCCTGATTAGTTCACCAGGTGAAGCTAAATACGAACTACGTTTGCACACTACAATCTGCCAGGAAGCTAAGCAAGAAAATCCCAAAGAGAAGAGGTGCCAGCAAAACCCCTAACGCTGCTAGGGCTACGCCAGGGCAGGAGAAAGGGGTTAAAAAAAATAAATAAAGGGGGAAAAAAAAAAAAAAAAAAAGCCCTTTGGCATCTTGGTTTTATTTGGGGAACTGTTGCAAGCCTTAAACAAACAAGGGAAAACACACAACCCTGGGGAGCACCAGGCATGTGGCCAGCATAAATGCCCCTCCAACCTTTTGGTAGTGTAGCCAAAGGTCAAACGCAGCTTTGGTAAAAATAAAATACAAAATGTGTTTTCTTTTGTTTTGTTTTGGGCGAGTTTGTGGTAAGGTTCTTTGGAGAGGGGAATGTTTTGTTTTGTTTTCTATGGGTTTCCCTCCACAAAGATTAACTTACCGTTACAGGAGCTCCGCTAAACTGCGCTGGCCACATATTCTTCACTGAGCACACAGTGCTGCTGGCAAAGCTGAGCCTTGCGCTTGTGTTCAGCAGACCAGGAAAAAGCCCCCAAATCCTTGTAGTGTCTTATGCAGCCTGACACAGGAGACTCCTTTTTGGGACACAGGAGACTCCTTTTTGGGACACAGCACCCAAGAGGGCATCCCCAGTGCTGAGAAGAGGCTCTGTGGCCTCCCCTTGAGATGGCAGCAAGGCTGGATTTCTGTCAGAGAAAAGAGCAAAATTCTGACACGGTGACTAGCTGGGTTTAAATCCTTGCAGGACGCAGGCAAATTGCAGTTTTAACTGCACGTTAACACGTTCTACCAGGGGAAAATCCGAAGTATTTTTAGCCTGGACCGAGGGTTTGGTCTCTCTGCCCTGGCCCAGCCTTTTTTGGAGTTTGCAAGCAGACACGATACCCTTTGCGATAGCCAAACACCACCTCTTCTCTTTTATTTTTTGCCACAGCAGAAGACCACGAGTTGCACTCCTGAAGACGTCAAAGGAGAAACACGGAGCAGTCGCTTTGGATACGGCCTTCCCGCTTGGAAACAGGGCCCGGTTCACTCCCAGTTCCCCGTAATCCTCCCTGTGCCCCCTCAGACAGTCCTACTTACAGGTTGAGCTCTGCTTGAACCACAGTGGAGAAAACCCCTTTTCTGCACAAGAGCCAAACCCAACTTGCTGCCTGAAGACATTCACCCTCCTGTTTACTGACCACCTCAAACCCCACCACCCTTTGGTCCTTTCCTTCTGTAGCCACTCAGTGGTTTCCAAGACACTTCCGAAGAGGAAGCACCTGACCATGGGATGTTTCCCATCACACTAATAAGCCATGACTGAACTATTCCCCCAGCCGCTTTGCGCTGGGGGGAGAGTCCCACAAGTCAGAGCTAGGTGTGAAGGAGAGGAGAGCACTTAAGCACTAACATAACGACGAAGAGGGATGAAAGGCAAGTTCGAGGGCTGCAAGTCCACAGCACACGTGGCTGTCACCGGTCCGAGCCACACGCAAGTCACCCAGGAAAACAGGAATCTTGAGGGGATAACTGTGAGCAGGAGAGAAGGCTCCCGTGGCCACAAAAAAAAGGAGACGGTGGCTGGTGAGGCGCTCACAGCTGAAGCTTTCTGCTCGCCCCAGCTTTTCCTTCTCTTCCTCCTCTTCAGAGCCTGGTGTCGAGGCTGCTTCTGGAGCGGGGGAGGAGACGGGGCTGGGCTGCAGCCGCGCGCTCGGGCTCATCTCTCGGGCAGCAGGACGAAGAAAATGGTCTTGAGGAAGTGGCCGAAGCTGCAGACGGCGGCGACCAGCCAGTGGGAGCGCAGGCTGGGGTCCGTATTCACCACGCATTTCGTGATGTCTGCCTAAAGGGGAGGAAACAACCTTCAGCGATGGACACCCTCAGTGAGGCTCAGGGTCCCCAGCAGCACTGCTGCAGACCCTCGTGTGCCCCACAGCCCGCAATGCTGCCCCACAAGCCGCTGCCACGCCCTGCAAGGGGCTAAACCAGGCACAGAGAAATGCACCTTCTCCAACCTGCATCCTCTAGGAGAAGCGCCAGAGGGGAAAAGAGATGCTAAGGAAAGCCTGGAAGCATTCAGCATTTTGAACAGCAACATGAAAGAAACTGTATCAGCGCATTTATCCTTTTGTGTGCAGACCAAGTGCTGCCCAGACCCTGTCCTGTTTAACATCAGCTCAAATTGCTTGCACTTCTTCCTCTGGCCTTCATGTTTTACTTGGAACTCCTTCAGGCAAGCCAACCCCAAATCAATTCCCAAGTAATGCCGGCTTTGTTTGTGGAAACGTGTATGCTGGCAGAGATGCCTCCCAGACGCGTGGGTCGGACTTAAAGATCACTCGGGCAGCTGGTTTCAAGCTGGCCTGCAATGAATAAAAACACAACAACAACCCAGCAAATTCATGGGGATGGGATCTCAAATGGCAGTAAGAGAAGATGGGAAACATCAGGAGGCCTAAAGTAAACAGGGCAGAGATGATAGAAAATTGTGTCTTTTGGTGGCCAAAGTATCTGTGTTTGTGGTTAAACAGCAGCTTAAGACAAGGAGATGTGGACCGGAGTCAAGATAACTTTGGTTTTGGTCAGAGATGGCTTCTATCAGTAGCCCTGGGCAGCACATGAATTTGTTTTTCTGGCACAAGCAGGGCAAAATACTGAGCAGCTCCCAACATCTTTTCTACCCATCTGACTCAGCAGGGCTCCAGATTTGCTTTCAGTGACTGCACAGAAGAAAGTCACACCCTCAGCTCGGACAGTAAAACGCGACTTAAGACCTGCTGAACAGCCCAACAACCCTTCCACTACTTCTGCCTGTGTCCGGAACGCCAGTGAGCTGAACCTGACTTACTTAACAAGTGCAAGCAAACGAATGGGAGGATTGAGGGGACAAATGTAATCCCTAGTGTCTGGTTAGTCAACACAGCAACATTAACCAACTTGGCCATCATCTACAGGCCAAAGAGTGGTTGACAGCAGCCTCAGTCACCTTCCAAGCAGTTCCTCCTTCCCAAGGGCATCAACCAGCGTTGTTGTTCTCTGAGGATCACTAGGAGGCCCTAAGCCCATGAAGAACCTGCCTGTGGAGGCTGGAATACAGGAGTGGAAGGAAGAAGAGGGAATGGGACGACAAGAGGACGTGGAATCGGCACATCAAGGAGAGCCATGGCACCATGGCAATCAGTTAGATTAAGTTATCGGTGGCCTGAACATGTCACCTTCAGCCTGCATGAGGAGGGGTCAGTTCTGCCAGGAGTGCCCCAAACAGAGCGCATCGTTGTCCTGCTCGAGCCACTGAATGGCCACTTGCAAATCACAGAATCATCTGGATTTGCACACAGATTTTCCTTTTCAGTAAAAAAAAAAAAAGTCCTGCAAATCCAAACGTTACAATTGCATGCGGTACATGCTTAAGTCAATAAAATTGCACAGCTGCTGAGTAATTGCCTTAACTCTTTTTATCCAGATAAAGCACACCCGATAAGGTGCTGGGACTGAAAAATCTCAAAGCTGCTTCGTTAGATCAGTCTCTCAGTCCCGTGAGGCAGTGATAAGCTGTTGCGGCCGCAGTTTGATCCTTGCCTGTTAATTATTCATCAAACGAGCTCAACCCTCATGTTCCGACTTGGAGCCCAAATACATCAGGGCGGCTAAAAACCCCTTCATGCTGCTGTAAAGCCACCACCGAGGCCACAGCCTCTTCCCAGGCACAGAATGGGTTAAATATTTCTTGTTTCCCCAAGAGATTTGGGCTTTTGGAGGGTGGGGGCGCTTCCTCTGCCCTCCAGAGGAGGCATTTGGGAACCTAGTGCCAAACGGAGGCTCTCAAATGCCCTCCCGAGGCCTCCCCGCTGCCTTGCTGGAGCAGCCCAGCACTCACTGGTGCCTCTTGGCAGCCTCAGCCCGCGCTGGTGTCGGAGACGGCACCGCCGCGACACGGACCCCGTGCCAAGAGCAACTAGCAAGCAGGCAGGCCCGGGCGCGGATGAAAGGGTCTCCTGGGCAGCGCCGCCGCGTCCCGGCTCCCTCGCAAACAAGGCCAGGAAACCTCACGCGGCAGCGCCTAGATGGAGAGGGAGAACTCGCAGGGAAACACAGGCCGGGACACAAAGGGACTCGCAGCTGGAAGAATTCCAGAAATCTGGAATGCAGTTTCCAGGGGGAAGGCGTCTCTGCAGCAGCCCAAAGTTGCTGGTGAGGATACTCAAAGCTGCGGCCACCACGAGCCCATGGGTAGATGCACCTCATCTGCAAAGGGCCAGCTCTTTCAGGGAAATGTCTTTCTTTTGAAGTCCAGGATGGAACATAAAAATCAAAACAAGATGTTAGCTTATCAAAGCACGCACATTATCCAAAGAGAAACTTAGCTGGAGACTAGGAGGAGGCACATTCCTATGCAATAGCTCAATTTTAATTCTTTTTTTTTTTTTTTTTTTTTTGGTTCCTTCCAAGGAAAAGTCATTCCAGGGAAAACACTTCAACTAACTCTGTGGATGCCTAGTTCAAAGTCAGCCTCAGATGATACCGAAGCAGGGATTTCACGTCCAGGAGCAGTGCCACCTAATCAGCTCCTTTGGCAGGATATCCTCTTCTCTATCTTGGCATGACTGTTTGTGCAGCCACCAAGTGAATCAGACCAGAGCACTCAAATCAAAGGCTGCTTTGCAGCCTGACCAGGCTGTTCCCTGACCCACTTGGCCTCGAGGTCACACGAAGTTGTTGAGAGCACTTAAGGCAGCAATGACAGGCAGTAAAAACACAGGATGCAAACCCAGGACATTATTACTTTCCCTCACCCAGGTGATTTCACCACTGGGGAACTCAGGCCCCTGGAAGTACTACAGTGGGAGACCTAGCCTCAGTTTGGAAGCAAGCACTCCCTGGGTCTGAAAGAGGAGGGGGTCTTCCCTGTGTCCCTATGGCTCAGGAATAAATGTCACTGCTTGCAGAGGAGGAATTTTGCTGTTGTGGCTGATGGGAAAAGATATCTGAAGAGCTCTGTGATGTCCCATGGGAACATTTAACTGCAGGCAGCATTTGCCAGGCAGTATCTCTTCCAGAGGGCTTCAGGCTATGCCCCTCCAAGGAGCATCTCTGTCCCTGCCACCCAACTCCTGACACCTAACACAGCCAACCAGCCACCTCAGGTTCACGGTAAGTCACTAGAAAGGTGTCTGGCTATTCCATAGCACCTAAATAAAGCTCTTCCTCTGACCTGTCCTCTGCAGGACATTTCTCATGAGCTGCAGAGAGAACCTGGGGAGTCTGATGCTTAAAGCCTGCTAGTGCTCATTCCATGCTCCAAGCCGCAGTGTAGGCCCTCTCACTTTCATGAACTCGGGTATTTCCCATGTTTCCAGCATATTTGCCCACGGGCGGCTAGAAGGAAGCAGCATCTCTTACCCAGCCTCCTCTCCTCTTCAGCCACGTCACCAAGGTCTTGCGGACAAACTCTCCCAGGCAGTCCACGATGGTGTGGACCATGGCGGGCTGCGCGTGTCGCACGCAGTCCACGGCCAGCCCGGCTGCCACCGCGTAGAGGGACACCACCTTGCCCCACGTTATGCCTGCGGGAAGAAGAGAGGACATTCGGACTCAGCCATGGCCACAGCTTTCCCATGGAAGGCCACAATTACCTGGGCAGCCGGATTAAGGAGCTCTTCTCCAGGTGGAGAAGAAAGGAGTAACCTGATCTGGGCATGCTTCAACCTTCCCTCAATGCTTGCTGCCCCAAAGAAGTCACCAAGGAAGGAGAGACATGCACCATCACTGCTGATACCGCTGATGACTCTCAGCCCCACACACGTTGCCCAGGAGGAGATGGCAACATCAGCAACTGATGCAATCTCCACCCTGAAGACAAAACTTTAACTATTTTTACCTCCAGACCAATGGAGACTGGTGCAAAGCAACACACAGAACACCTGAGAGATGCTCAGGATCCTCACAGTCACTTCTACCATGACAAAGGAATAAAGGAGGGAGGCAAAGGTAGAGGACCAAGAGGATTGGGGGCCTCCTAGACTTAAGAAGTCTCCTGCTGAAAGACAGGCACCTTCAAAGGTTTGGCGACTGCCTGTAACATTTAGCGGTACACGTCCCACGGAGGCGGTGCAGGGGAAGGAATGTCCTGCAGTTATCTCCCGGAGAGCAGAACTTCCTAAAAGAGGAACTTGCCAGACGGGAATGCTCCACGGAAGCTGTCCCAGCAGCAGGGATCTTCCTGCGAGCACGGGTGGTAAGTGCCCCACGGCCACGAGCTCTGCTCTGGGTACCAGCCAACTGCCCTAGGTCTCCCCTGGGCATAATCTGCCATGTGCACGCGGAGCTGCCGGCAGCCCCTCACGAGGCTTTTATCAGGACCAGCACCTGGAGACTCAATCCTGCTCCGGCAGTGAAGCGCGGACGCCGGTGAAGCCACAGAAGGTTAAGAGCACATGAACCTGCTCTGACCAGGTTGCGACGAGAATGAAAAAGAGACGAAAGGAAGAAAAGAACTGATTTCAGGCAGTACATCTAAGGAGCAGAAACTGGATATGCTCAGCCAGTGTTTAAATACAAGCTAAACAAAGCAAAGTCTCTGCCTCTTTCATTCCTCTTGTTCCCAAATCCCCAGGCACCCAGAACCTCTCTCTGCAGAGCAGGGCTTGAAAGCCCCTGTGTTTGTCCCTCTGTGCCTTCCCAATATGGACAAGGCTCAACAGAATGATCCTGCCACGTAATGCCTCCAAAGTGATGCTCATGCTAATGCTTCCAGGATTTTTAGTTTACATGCAAAATTAAAACAACAACAACAACAACAAAAAAAGCAACACCAGCCATGGGAATGGCACTTGTTGGATTGGGGAAAAACCAGTCACTGTTCCAAAGAAAACTACTTGTCCACTGCCCAAATCTACAGAAGACATCATGGTGAGAAGCTTCAAGGACAATAACCCTGCAGTGCTTCAGAGTCCTCTGGGATCCTCTGCCTTTCGCCAACTCGCTATCTCCGAGACCAGAAGGAAATTATTAATCTAGATAACTTTTTTTTTTTTTTAAATTGTGGTTTTATTTTCCGAGTAGGCCCTGTGGGTCCTTTCCCTGGAGCTGTCACTCAGGAAGTTCACCTCCTGTGCAGTATTTGCACTATTTAATCTCTCTTTCTCACATTGTGTGTCACCATGGCAGCCAGCAAGGCAAGCCAAGATGAGGCTACAAAACTCTCATCAGTAAGGCCCAGACAGATGGTTTTTCCTGGTAAATTCCACAAGCAGAGAGAGGCTATCCTGTCTCAGGTCAATACCACTCCACCTAATGAGAGAGGCTTGGAAAGGTGACCTCTTGGTGGCCACATTTTTCTGGACCAGAGTCTCAGCTGGCCGATGCCAAACCTTGGTGCAGAGCAATTATTCCCCTTCTCTGGCTGAGGCCAGAGCTGAGGCCACCTGGGCGGGCAAGGTGCCTGCTGCCTTGACTAGCTTGGTTTTAAATCCAAGTTCGTCTTTCCAAGAGAAGAAAAGTCAATCCACAACCCTTGGAAGGTAAAAGGTTCAACAGATCCCTGACTTCCTGCCCGAGCAGCACAGTTGGACTAGATGATCTCCAGAGATCCCTTCCAACCTCAACCCTCAGCTATTTCCTTAGCACAGAACAAAGAGGTTCTCTCTACAAAACACTCAGCCCCTCTCCATTTCACACAGACCAGGGACAGAGCCCATGGTGCTCGTAAAGGAGGTCATGCTCAGCAGCTACTTCCCATTTTCCTACTTGCTGTAGACCATCATATGCAGGTCAAGCTGATCTTTAAGTCTGCTTGATTTTTGCTGCTTTTGGAAAAGTTGAGCCACTCAGGTGGAGGGAAAGGAAAACTTGCCCTTTCCATTATTTCTTTACATCAAAACTCCCGTTGCCACTGCTGGACAAGGAAGATAAGAGTCGTGTGGTTTGAATCGCTGGGCTCCTGCTCTGACCCGACAGGATGTATCCTGTGCTCTTGTTCAGTCAAGTCGCTGTAGGAGAACGCCCAAGCGGGAGAAAAGCAGCTGGTATCTCCAGCAGCTGCTGCAGAGCAAGCACTGGGCTGTGCCTGGGGCCTCTCTGTCTATCTGTGGGGTTCCAGGCAGGCACAGAGCTGGAGAACCCTGGAGACCACGGCAGCCTCCAACCTGCCTTTTCCCAAGGCACATGCTGTGTATTTCCTCTCTTCAGGAGAGCCTCTTGCTAAGGGTAGAAGCACACAACGTGCTTGGAAGGCAACATCTGCTTGTGCTCCTCTCTAACACCCAGGCCGATGTCAGAGTGACACCAGCTTGATGCCTCCCTCAGCAGGAGCTGGAATTACTTCTAGCCACTACGCACGAGCAAAGAAAATGCCTCGTCTCGCTCCCAGCTCCCCCAGACGTCTGGCTGGGCGAGACAAGGGCACTCAGCACTAAGTGCAACGGAGAAAGATGATCCATGCACGGATTCCCACTGTGCAGACTGGCAGGCGGCTAAATACAGAAGGGAACACTAAACCAGGCCTGAAAGAAGCAATGAAACCAGAGAAAGTCCTGAAGCCTCCTGCCTATCGAGACGGAACAAGAGCATCAGCTCCAAAGGATGCAGAAAATGTGAAAAGCCACTTGGAAGGAGGTTTAGAAAATAAGAAATCAAAGCTGCAGACTCGAGGCCGGCTGTGGAGCCAGAGGTATGTAAACACTGGCGAGGCCAGAGGAAAATAAACTAGTGAGAAAGGCCTGTTCTCGAAAGCGCTCCCGCTGCGGAGCAGCCTGCCTAGCCTGGCGACGTGTCGGGAGCAGCCGGCCGCGCGGGCGCTGCCGCCGCGCGCTCGGCACCCGCTCCCCGACGTTATCCAAATAAACGTGCCCCTGCCCCGCTCGGCAGCAAAGCCAGACTCACGGATCGGGCCTGGGAGAAACTCGGGAGTTTCCCCGCTGGCAGGGGGGTGCAGCCAGGCCCAGCCGACGCGAGGCAGGAAGATGAGGTGGGCAGCGAGACGTGCTGGCTGCTGTGAGGGAAAGCACTTCCCCGACAAGCCAGTAACCACACAGCCCTGTGTCTCGCTGCACAGGGCTCCCTGCAGCCTGAGCATCCTTGATTAAAAACCTACCAGGGCCCAGGAGAGTAAAAAAATACCCGAAGGAAATCCCTTTTGGAGAACAGCAGGGCTGCCTTTTCCTCTTCTGTTCTCCCACTGAGTGGTCCCATCCTTCTGGAGCTTATTTAAGTAGCCAAGGTAAATGCCAGCTGTGCCAGCCCTGCTCCCAAGCCTGTTGAAGCCAGTGCAAAGCCTTCTGCCAGCTCCAGAGCAGCTTGGGACTCAAATCCCAAGGTCCTTGCTGACCTCCACTGGATCTGACACAACATTTCCCCCCTCGCAGAAAAATGGAGGAACGAGACCACTGTTAGAAGGAGGAGAAAAGGCTAAGGTGAAGAATTCTCCAGCAAGATAAGGTAAAAATATCCCACCCCTTGTCGGATAGGCTGTGTGAGGGACCAAAGGGGTCCCCCGGCTGTCTAGGTGCCTGGAAAGTCAGACTTGGTGTTGTTGTTAAAACAACAGACTTGCTGTTAAAAACAGGCTCAACTGCTTGAACCATCAGTAATTGGCTTGAAAAACTTTCAGGTTGCATTTGAGCTCCCTGGTTTCCTTCGCTGAATAGGCGCCTCCTTCCTCCGAGCTAGGAAAAAACATAATAATAAAAAAGAGAGAATGAATGTCTGGCTGCCACTGGCAACTCTCGATTCGCTGGATTTAGCATTGATTGCTGAGTCTCAAGACTGCAACAGGGATCCTGGAATGGTAAAAATCAGCAAACTTTCCCCTCTCAGTCCCCTTCTGGCAAGGAAGGGTGATGAATTGATTCAAGCAAGCGATGGAAACCTTAACGGCTGAACTGCTCGTTGCTCTTGAGGGGGAAGAGAGGAGCACATGTTGCTCACGGAGCTCTGGGAAGGCTTGGAAACCACCTGCCAGCAATTTGTGCAGCTGAGTGTCTGCAAAGAAAGAGAGGGCGCCAATAACCGAGGCGACCTGAGTCCCTGACACTCATCTCAGAGCAAAGCTTCCTTATTCGGACAGCAAATAGGGGAGTCCACGAGCTTGACCTCTACTTTTGGTGAGCCCTGGGGTCCTGTCGCCGATGGGACAAGACAGGGCACCTGTGGCCAACTGCTGCCACGCTCAGACATTCTTGTCATATTTGTCCAGCTCTGGCTTTCCAAGCCTGTGTGGCGTCCCCAGCCAGCTCTGCATTCCAGGCATAGCTGGGAAGGCCGCTGCGGGCTGCAGTGCTTGCCACGGAGCCATCCCCTTTTTATGACATGCCTTGGATTTCCATGAATCCAAGGGAATGAATGTGCCTCAACAGACCTTCCTGGGAGCCCAGGCAGTCCCTCTCAGGGAGATCTCTAATATCTCTTGTTCTTTCCAGAGGCAACACAACCAGACCTGGCAGAAAACCCACGGTTATGCCAGGGCTTGCCTTCCCCAAAGCCAAGAGTCACCTCAGCACGACATCTCCTTTCTCCTGCGGTGACTCCCTCCGACCACGTTCCCAGTCGTGGACAGAAGGGCTGAGGCTGGGCCAAAAACTCCTTTCAAGGGAAGCCAGGTCTCCCTTGCAGGAACGTAGCAACGGGAAGGTCTCTGCTTCTGTCAGTAAGCGCCAGGACCGGCTGAACAGCAGCACGATCGTGTCTGAGCGGTGAGAAAGCTCCAAGCACCTGCTCGTTTGGCAGCCACCAGCCTGGGAAGCCGAAGCTGCTGCCTTTCTGCTTGCGAGAAAGGCCCAGAACAGCTGCGAGAAGGAGGCTCCATTGCAGGTCTGGCTCCTGCTGGGGGGAAGGAAGCCAGAGAAGGGGAACTCCCTTGCGATGAGTTAGTTCTGGCTCCAAGTGCAAGCAACGTGAGCTGGGATAAGGGAGACTCCCATGTAATGACTCTCCTCCTGTTGCCAGTGGTGAGCAAAGGCACTTGGAATGAGTGACCTCCCTATGCAATGGGGTAACACCAGCTCCTAATGAGGAAGGGCGGGAGGTGCCTTCTAGAATGAGCCAGAACCTGCCAGGAGATCTATAAAATGGGGCATTTCCCTGCCAGAACAACAGAGATTCCAGGAGCTCTCATTAAATCATTAAAGTTGGGCACGCTGCCAAACTGCCCAGGGCCCTTCCCGAGAGGAGGCCCCACCTTGCAGGCGATCCCAGAAACACATCGCCTGCGGGAGACTGGGCCCCGTGGTGTCCACGTCCGCCCGGCCCCACCTGTGTCTCCGTGGGGACACGGTACCTGCGGTGAAGATCTGCGCAGCCACGGCCAGGAAGGCGTCCGTCACCACCGTCTCCGAGTGCAGCGAGATGTTCAGCTGCCGGGCGATGTTCCGGTACACGGTGGGGCGGATGTACTCCAGCTCGTCCCCTAGGAACACAGCAGCTCGGCGTCAACGCCGGGAACGCCAGGCCCTGCTCCAGCCACGCACGGATTGTGCCCCACGTACCCCTCCAGCCGAGATTTATTCCCAGCTCCACGTGCAGGTCATCTGATTCCTGCTTTCCTCTCCTAACTGACCTTGTGCCCTTGGAGTTCTCAAGCGTGGTAGGATGGGGTGGGGAGCTGCACCTATCCTGCAGCCTGATGAAAGTCATCCAGAGCTGCACGATATTCATGGAAAAAAAGGCTATTCAGCTATTTTACACTAAAACAGGCACTGAGTGAAGGGCAGGGGGGTTTTCTCTTTCCTCCTACGGTTAAATGAACATTCGTTTGCCTGGCTCACACCTCAGCAATGAATTTCCCCATTGGCAATGGCTGGAGGTGTCCAGTTGGCTTGAAGACCAAGATGGAAACACCAAGTAGAGGAGGAGAACCCCCCACCACCGGGCACAGGCTCTGCAGCTTGGGCATCAGCAGCAGAGCTCTCCTGTAGTAGCAAAACAAACCATTATTCCCATTTTGAACGAAATTATTGAAACCTGCTTTCCAATGGATTTGTTTCTCCAGGGAGATTCCTCACAAGGATTTGCAGGTATTTCTTGAGGGCCACATGCAGGCAGGAGATTTCCTCTACTGGGAACAGGAATAAGGTCCCTCTCCTCTGTCATATACTTATTTTCAGTGGAGGATCTTCACTGTTGTCACTTAGGCTAAAATAGATCCAAAGTTACCATGCCTACAACACACCTGCACGTACATATTGTGTATCCTCAAAAAACAGGCCGAAAATAGCTGGGATTACTGCAGAATTCCCACCACATGAAAGTGGCTCTCTGGGCATGGAGGTCCCCATTTGGTCATTGAGATGGGAGCTCCTTGGAGTCCTGCAACCACACATGTGTGCTCCGGGGTGCCCGGGGGAAGAGGAGAGCTCAAAGAACATCTTCAAATCGCACCGCAAGACCCATTGACTCCATCTTCCTGAAAACATCACGCCATCGCTCAGGTGGGAAGAGGAAAGGAGGATGGCCTCCAAATCAGGAGCGTGTTACTGAGTCACTTTCCACTGAACCTTATGTCATTTCGCAGCGGCACTCAGCAAGGAAACGGGCAGACCTTGATTTTCCAGGAGTCCCCAAATAAACGAGTGCTGCTGGCCAGCTCTACGTGCAGGATTGTCCCACAACTGTAAACCCAGCAGATGCACAGGGTGCCCTGATAACAGGGCCTATATCATACTCTCCAACAGCTCTTCTCACCGAGAAGGATGGGTGGGAAGCGGGAGGGCATGGTGATCAGCACCTGGTCCCCGGCCACCGCTGCAGCCTGTAACAAGCAGCGCCCGGAGGCTTCAGGTGAGATCTGGGCCCGGGTTCGGTTGGAGGCGCGCGCGCCAGCAGAGCAGGCCCTGTCCTGCAGCAATGAATGCACAGAACAACAGAGGGGGAAGGAAAAACCGAGCGAGGCAGCGCCAGGATTACTCAGGTTCCCTACCAGGGAGGTCTCCAGGACCTCTGGAGCAGCACGTGGTACCGGCGGTATCCCCACATCTCCGAGTCTCGCTGTACACGTTGCAACATTCAGAACCATTTGTGTGTTTCCCCTGCGTCTTCCACCAAGTTCAGATAAAACAGACCCAGGACACACAGGACGGGCTCGTCTGAGGTATCTTATTTGGCGAGACCAAAGGGTTTGAACATCTCTGACCACCTAATTCCACTAATTTGGGCCATTCCCTCAGGCCTCACAACTGCATTTCTTGAGCCCAGCAGCCCTTTGAGACCACCCTCAACTTCTCATCTCTCCAGGCTTCTCAGCAGAACCTTCAGGGGCTTCACTCCTTGCACTACATGACAAGGGGCAAAGCATGATAGATACCACGTTGCTGGACATTGGTTATGGACGTGACAGGGAAAAAGAAGGGACAACCCAGGTGGCAGGGGGTGGTTATGAACAACTAGGCTAGAAATAACTCCTTGTTCTCATCAAAAGGGCTGTTCCCCGCTCCTGTCACATGGGTACCATGACTGTCTCCAGATTTGCTCAGAGAAGAGCCAAGTGACGAGGACTATCAGCCAAATCTTTCCATCTGGACATGAATAAGTAGCAGGAGAGACATCCAGAAGACGCCTTCGGATCCGGGCTGCCACCTGCTTGCCCTTTCTCAGGCTCCTGGCCACCCACTGAAGATCTGCTTGAAGGCAACCAAATCTCAGCCCCCAAGTCAGGTAGAAAAGAAAGGGAGCGCCAAGGAGACAGTGTGGATGGCAGAGAGACTGACAGAAGAGCAAAAAATAGGGGGAAACCAAAACAGAAAACAGAAAGAAAAAAAGAAAAAAAAACCAAAAAGGTCAACACATTGGAGAAAAAAGGGGGAAACAATGAGAAGTTGGTCAAAATTAAGGAAATCTGTGCCTTAAAAAAAAAAAGAAATTTGGGGCAACCTCTCAGAGAAGTAGAAAGAAAAGGGATAAAGTGGGAAAACTATCCTGGTCCCAAGCTGGTTAGGCCCAGCTGAATACTGCTTCCCTAGACTTACTTGTAATTAAATTGGATGCAAATATTAATTGCAGTTTCCAAGCCAGACATGAACTAATATTCCAGCCTGCAGGCAAAGAAGGATGTTGGAAGCAGCCGCCGGGAGCGAAGAGATCCCAAAAGACAAGTGGCTTGAGTATGGGGAAGTTAAGACAAGCAAAAAATCCAGGCAAGTGTCAGCACCTAGGCAGCCTTCCAGGCGCGTGTTCCTTGGATATTGGGGCTGAACAAGTCCCTGCCCAGCCTCTCCAGCTCGTGCCTCCATGGGCATCCTTTCCTTCCTGCAGAGGAATGCATAGGTGACATCCCCTTTACGCAGAGGCTCCCATACAAAAGACAGGCCACACTTGTGCACAGAAGATCTAACAGTTGCTCCAGGGACAGAAACCAAAACTCTTCTCTTGCCGAATGACTCAGGCAGGCAAAGGAAGATTAAATACAAGGCACTTACTGGCAAACAGCTTTTACAAAACTTCTGGTGCTCATGGTCTAAGTGGCTGCCTCCAAATTAACCATCGCCTCAGTCAGGCAAGCAACTACCTACGGGAGCAGCTGATGGAAAGCCCAAATTGAGAGCTGGGAGAACTCCACTAGCCACCAGGTTGGGCTGTGTCACAGCAGCCCAGTGACACGTGTCCAGAGAAAACACAGCAAGAGCCATTAAAACACCCAGCTGAGAAAAAACTACTGAATGAACTAAAGCTCTTACACGCTCTGAACAAAACTTAGCTTGCGGGCTGCTCCCGATGGCCCTCTTGCTCCTGCTCGTTGCACGGGCACTCACCTAGTCGCAGCAGGATGGCGGACACCTCGGCCAGCTTGCCGCCAGGCACCGGCGCGTTGTGCTCGGGTTTGCTCCAGCTGACACCCGCTCGGATCAGCCGGGAGTTTATGTAGTCCCTACAGAGAGCCTTGGCCTGGGACACAAGCTCCTTGTCAGTGGGAGAGCGGTCAAAAACCTCCATCACCTCTGCAGCGAAGACCGAGGAGCGGCGCAGCACTTCCATGCTTGGCCACGGAGCAGCTCGGCGCGTGGCGGCTCCGGCACCAGCGAGACCCTGCGGGCACCGTCCCGCGATCCCCGGCCCTCTCGACGCGTCACGGCCTCCTGCAGCTGCTCTCCAAAGGACAGGCGCTCATTCTACCTGGTGAATAACAGCATCTGTTACTCAGGTTGCAAAGTGAAGGGCTACAATGACGTGATACAGAAGCTCAGGCGTCGCACCCTACAGAGACACCAAGGTAAGTGGTATCGTGTTTGCTCGGCATCCCTCTCGGGGCATCTTACAGACCAGGGTCCAAATCTTCCCGTCCTTCAGCTCCTCGTACTTTCAGGGACAGCTTGGCCCACAGTTTTGAGCTACCGAGGTGTTTTCACGTCTCTGCTTCAGCTACGAGTCCTGCAATTGCGCTTTGGCGAGACTAGAGTGGAAACGATTCCCAGAATGTGTTAGACGACCTCAGCTTGTTTCAATTAAACCAGGAAAGAAGAAAAAAAAAAAAGATCCCAAATTCCAGCCACTATCACCCCAACCAGATTCAAACAGACACTCCAGCTCAGCAGGTCATGGATCCTTCTGAGGAAATGGCAATAAAATACTGTGAGAACTGGAATACAGGAGTGTTTCAAATGCCTCACTAGCACTAAACTTCAGACAGAGAGACTGCTCTTTGTTGTAAACCAGGTCTAGGTTTTGATTCTGCAGCTTGGGTTTTACTCCTCCAAATCCTTTAGCAACAGCAGAGGAAAAGTAAAAGGCTGCTTCTAAAAAAAAAAAAATAAAGAAAAAGGAAGTTTTCAGGTGTGAATGCCCAAAGTGACAATTCAAAATTCTTCATTCACTTGAATAAATGTGCTGGTCTAACTGTTTAAGCTAGCACAGCTTCTGCAGTGAGACCAAAGCCTGTATGCAGATGGGAGCAAATTTCTCTCTCAGTCCTCAGCTTTAGCCATTCACTTACAAAAAGTCTTAAACCAGACTACAGCCATGGAATTTAATCCGTTCCCATCGAGAAATATATTTACCTCTCGGGCTGCGGTTTTCCTCCCTGTCAGTGACTTCTTGGGCTCGCTTTCATGCTTCTTTGGAAGGTCTGCAGGGGCGAGCACCTGGTTGAGGATGCAGAGATCCCGTCACACAACCCTCTGGAGCAGGAGCAGCCTTGGCCGCTCCGCAGCACCCAGTGCTCACACGGGCACCTCCTTCTCCATCCCTGCCGGCCTCCGCATCCCGCCTTGCACTCAGGATCCTCGGGCTTGCTCTGCTGCTTTTAAGGGACCCAGGCAGGCAGAGGACAGCGTTTAGCTTTAGCCTTGTAAGGAAAATGAAATTACTGGGAGGTGGGGTTGCTCCAGCCTGTTTTCTCCTCCCCTTTCTCCTCTCTTAAGGAGGCTCTCGGCAGTTGTGTTGGGTCTTTGCGAGGTCTTCGCTCCAGGGGGGTCCCTTGGGACAAGGGTAGGAAAAGGGTTTCTAGATGAGGTTGCTCAACTTAGGAGCAAGTTTGGGATGCACCAAGAAGGCTTTGAGTTCTCATGGAGACCGACGCTCTTGCAGAGCTGGCCTTGGCCGGTCATTTCCACACCTGGAGTGCTGCACTCCATAGGGTGGATATCACACTTGGACAGGGCGCCAGGACTAAAAGTTCCATCCTAAATGACAGGAGGGGCTAATAACGAGAGCCAAAGCACAGGGCTAAAGCAAGATGTGCTGCTGCTGCAGCTCGAGGGTTTCCTCAAACTAGGAGGAGTCCAATTAAAAAGCCGTAGCGCGTTTGATGACAGAAAACAGTTTGTCCAAAGCAAAGAGCTTCGCAGAAACATGCCCATCTCATTCCAAGGTGTTCAGAAAAATTTAAAAAAAAAAAGGAGAAGGATGTAAAATAAAGTTTGAGTAAAATATTAAATTCATTCCAAAGTACTTAGAGACGCATCTCAAAATAAGCTTCTGGTTGACGCTGCAGCTCTCAGCGTTGCTTCTGTTTGCACCATTGCAATTCCACAGGCCCAGTAGAAGAGTTGGTATTTTGGGCTGTGATTTGAAACAAAGGAATTTTCAAAAAGAGAAGCTTCATGGGGGAAAAAAATGTCCTCAACCATGAGTTCTTCCCAAAAAAGAACTTGATGATGACTAACCAGGCACAGAGCTTGTTTGACACATAAAGGCAGGTCAAAAGCAACCGATATTTGTCACCAGCAAGAGGGCTGGACACCCACGTTTCACAGCAGAACTTAGGTCAGGACCCTGGGCTTAGCTTGACATGACTGTGCTGGGTTGATGATGGAGCTGACGCTTCATCTTCAGCACCTCAAGTGTTGGCTCAACGATCCTCTTGGAAATTTGTTGTCATCCACTAGCTTTCCTGAAATGTAAATACAGTCTCCAAAGCAGAAACCCATCCCTTGGAGGCCCAGATCAAGCCTGCAGAGATTCTGCACTACTGAGTCATCCCTAATCTACCCATTTTTTTGCAGAAACGTGGCCTGTGGTCTCTTGGAAAGTCATGATTTTCCCTTCCCAATTCTGCCAGCTGCAAAACCATTAATCATACGGCCTCGCTTCCCGCTTCAAACAGTAGCCCTGTCAAAACCATCTCGACAGTGCTCTGAAACAAAGATGAGCGCTGGAATACCAGTGCTGCTCAAGGAAAGGGAGCTTTTGGCAGGAGATTAAACCACAGCACAGAACGTTTTGCTGACCACAGAAAAGGAGGTTTCAGCCCAAGGAGCAGTCTAATGAGGTCCTTTTTTCCATTGGTTGTTTAGGCTACAGCATCTAGAGGCTTGATCCAGGCTGGAAAAATCCTTGTGGCAACGCAGAATTGGGAAACGGTGCAGAAAGAGCTTATAACATCCCAAAACGCTGCAGCCAGCGGAGCTCCTATTCCTGTGGAGAAGAACTTGCTATGTGTATTTAATAAAGCCAAGGCAAGCACAGAGATGGCTACGTTTCATAGGTAACATCACCGGGAAGCAAATCCTAGAGAAACTGCAGGAGCGAGAAGCAACAAGCTATCCACAAATATGATTAGACTTGGACATCAACGAGTTCAACCATTAGAGAAGAAAACCTCTGGAAGGGCCTTAAAAAAGTTACGTGCAGCTAATTTTAAGCACACTAAGCTTATGAAGGGGACTGCGGGCTGGGGTTTCCTGCCATAGCACAAGAACAACCTCGGGTGAAGGAAGTCATTCCCAGCCCCATTTCTATCCAATTCAGCTCCAGGTTGTGTCATCTCACTTCCCAGTGCTGATCCCAGCCGTTTCACACTGACCTGCAACAACCTGCCGCGGAAAGAAGACGTGGGTCCGTGTGGAACCAGGGCTCAGAGGAGCACAGGGACCTGGAAGAGATGCACAGTTAATAGCAGGACAATCTGGGACAACCCAGCTACCCCCTGCCTGCTAGAGGGTTCCACCTGGAGATGAGATAAGCAAAACTGGCACTGTGACCATTCCAAAGTCCTCTGTTAAACCATTCCTGGACTTTCTTCTGCCTCATGCCAACACGGGCTGGTGACCAAGCCAGTTTTAACACATCATCTCCCCACACGACCTCTTCTTGCCTGATTTTTGCAGCAGTGGTTCAGCTCTTCATGGCTAAAGTTATCCTTTACCATTGAAAATGCACATCAGACTTTAGGCTGCAAAGCCATGCGGAAAAGGAACGGGGAGTTTAGGAGAAACATTTGTTTTTAAAACAGAAAGACTTTGCCCGTTGCAACAGGAAAACAATATGTGGAAATAGCAACTGAACAGGGACCCAGGCAAAACAGAGATTTTTGGAACCCAAAACCTTCACTCAGAACCTTCTGAAATCACAGCTTGTGTTATTTATATTACTTGTGTGATGGCACCGCCTTGGAGCACCTGTCCTGGGAGGGGATTTTGTGGTGTCAGGCGTCCTAGGCCAGCCCAAAGAGTGTGAGCCAATGGGTGAGGTCACCCTTAGGCAGCTCCTTCACAAAGGACAGAGGTCTAACAATTTAAACACCTCAAGTTTAGCAGCCCATGTATCCTCTAGGACAAGTTTATGTATATCTGACATAAGCAATCACCAACACCCAATGTTTTCCTCTCTGAACCGCCTGCCCTGCTCGCTCTCACTGTCTGCAGACACAACCTCCTCCAGACTTCTTCTACACCTGCCTTATCAGCTCAGGAATGCAATCCCAGAGACACAACCGTTCAGTTATTGGCCTGTCCTCCAGTTGTCTTCTTCACATTTCACTAAACACGTCACCTCGCATGTCAGCAATAAGGCAGACACCCAGCAGAGATAAGTCTTAAGCTGTCCCACAGCCACAGCTTCTCCTCAAAACACCACGAAAATATTTACACACTGCAGCACTAAAACAGAAAGGCAGAAGAGATAATGCAGTCGCTATCCCTGAGGCAGCAGAGAGGATTCTTCCTTTGCGAGCTCCCAGCCTCCAGAAGTGGATAATGCTCCTCAGTTTCATCCTAGCGTTCAGCTACCTACAGGCTTTGGGAATGGGGATTTGGGATTTTCCTGCTCTAGTTTAAGTATATTCCTTCCAGAGAGGTGCCTCTATTTGCAATGATCCGGAAATCCCAAGATTTCTGCAGCATTTATGAGCTCTGGCACATTTGGCTACTGCTCCAGGGCACACGCTAGGACAGATACAGCCCATATGGACCGATGGATCAGTGAGTCCAGTAACCACAAGGCTCTTGCCCTGCACACTAGGGCACACCTTGCCGTGCCCTTAACAGGCCCCAAAGACCTTTGAGGTGTGTTTTACATATCCAGGACTCAGCCCTAGTTTTAATTAAGCCCTTAATGACGTTTGGAAGGGTAGTGTGTAGAGCTGGGCAGGGTCCGTGCTCCTCGGGAGCTGCCTCTGCACGCCGCGGCAGCAGGAGGCCTGGCTGTCTCGGCTCCGCGCAGCTCTGAGTCACCATCGCACACGACTGCGTCACCATCGATGGTGCCACCGGGCACCTCGGGTCCCACCCTGTACATTAGATGCACTGGTGGGACTCCATGCAGCAAGTGTCACCTTCGTGACTGCTTCTGCACAGCAGGACTTAACCCTCTTACTCAGAGGGACAGCAAAAACACCTTTTTTTTTTCCAATACTGGGGTCATTTAAAGCAATCTTCACCCCCAGCCACTCATTCCACTGGTCCTCTGCATTGCACTGCTATAATTTTGTGTATGTTGGCAGAGAGAAGAGGTTCATGGAACCAGCTTGTAATTCTTCATCTGGGTGAGATAAACCTCCCGTCCGCAGCGCAGCTGCAGCAGTAGCTGTGTTAGCACAACCACAGTAGCTGTGTGCAAGAGAGAAGTATTTCCTACCGGCGAGGTAGCAGTTCAGGAGAGCGACACCCAAGTTCTGTTTCTGGGCACAGAAATGGGTCTACGGAGATTTGGATCTTCTTACCTCACTGCATAAGCCAGGAAGAAGCTGAGAGGTCATCGGCAAATCCTTCCGCCAGAGCAGGGATTGCTCGGCAGGCCTGGGCTTCCCAGCACCTTTAGGATGGCCACGTTCAAGAGTTATGGTGAAAGACACTAAATAAAAGAAGGAGAAGGAATTTTTGGTTACCTGACACTGAGATACCTAAGCCTGGCACATGCAATAGCCAGGACAGAACGGTGCAGAAGGGCAACTTTCACCTATTTCCGAGGGTGCTGTGAGCATCTTGGGATGCCCTGAGCAAGAGCCAGGAAGCCCTTAGTGCTCTGCTCCTTTCCCAGCCCGTTGGCCTCCTCCGGCGCATCCTGGCACGGCGCCCTTGGCATGAAACAGCCACGGAGCCAGATCCCAAAAGCCACGGCCAGGGACGATCAGGGCGCAGCCATTTAAGTCAGAGCAGTTCAAGTCAATTTTAATCACATTTGAAAATCAGCAAGCCGGAAACTTTGTTTGAGGTCACCGATTTTAATCTGTTTTTCTATTCGCCTCAAAGAGAGGGCGAGCCTCGACGACGGGCAGGGCTGAAGACGTGTTTATTTGCAGCTGAGTGCAGCTCAACACTACATTTTCTACTCTGGCTGTCAAGGGATGATGGAGAGGTGCGTTTGAGCAGCTCCCCAGCTCACACAAATTAGATAAACAGCAGCAGTGTCTTCGTGTGTGTTAAACAAAGCTCCCAGAAACAAAGTTGGGGAAGGGGGTATTTTTCTTTTTTGAATACAGGAAAACACCTGTGACAGAGAAAAGAAGAAAAACCAGAACGAGTTTCGTTTAGCACAAGCAGTGGCTCTAGCTACTGAAGTGTGTCAGCTGTTGGAATGAATAAGCAGCTTTTTGAGAGCAAAAATCCTTTCTGGGGATGATGTTAAATGCCGCAAAAGTCTTTCCCATTGAGTTAGCTTGCCTCATAATTTGATTACAAGGAGTCAAAGAGGAGGTGAAAAAAAAAGTAGGGGAAGGAATGAGAAAAAAAAAAAAAAGAAAAATCTATAAGGAATCGGGCAAGGAGAGCCACTTTTCACAAAAATACCTGAAACTCAACAGAAGCGATGCTGCTTCCTTGTAATGTGCCCAGACATCTGCCCCCCTCCTGCTCTGCTTTCCAGTGCCTCCAAACGTCATCAGTTGCTCACAGCTTTGATACTTAGTTTTACAGCACAGAAAGGACTTAAGGGTTTATTTAGCGATGTGAACACAGTCTGACTGAAGCTCTTTTGAGCACAAAGACCTGCACAAACAGTTACCTGTCTGAATTCCAGAAATTTCAGCTAGGAAGAAGCCAGCGAGGTGGCAGTGAGAGCCCGGCAGCCCCGGTGGGGAAGACAGCCGCGACGCTCAGGTCGCCTTGTGCTCGCAGCGACTCCACAGCAGGTCGCAGGCTGCTAAGAGAAACCAGAAAGAGGGGAAATATTTTCAGCGACTCGAGTGGAAACACATAAAACTGCAGTTCTGAGGAAGAAAAGTGTCTCCCTTGGACAAGCAACTAGCCACAGCTGAAGGGCACAAACCCACGAGCTGCTTCGGCAATTTTAAGCTTGGTTTGCTGCTTAGAGGCGAGGCCTCTAAGGAGTCAGTGTTGCTTAATGTCAGTCCATGTGGGAAAGACGACACAGGTAAGACAGATGGACAAACGGATGGATGGACAGGCAGATGCATGGATGGACAGGCAGATGGATGGATGGACAGATGGACAGGCAGATGGATGGATGGATGGATGGATGGATGGATGGACGGACGGACAGACAGGCAGACAGGCACATGGGCAGACAGGCAGATGCATGGATGGACAGACAGGCGGATGGATGGATGGATGGATGGACAGACGGACAGGCGGATGGCCTGTGGTGTCGCTGGCTTCCTGCTGAGCGCTTGTGGTTTAAGGGACAGAGATGCCCCCTTCCTTGGAAGCTGCAGAGCTCATTTTACAGACCCAGCTCCTTATTCTAAAAGGAAAAAACACCAAGATGCTGCAGTCGAGGTGATGAAGCAAAAACAGACCTGTGCGAGGCCTCTGCCCTGCTCCTCCCGTGACTCCCACAACATATTCAGCATTTGAGGTCTGATTTCCCATTCCCTGGCACCTGAGGCCCATGTTCTCCTCAGAGGACCCAGTACCACGCCGAGCGTGTTGCCAGCACCACCACATATACCAGCTTGACACCGGTGTTAAGCCCATCACAAGAAAGGGACATTAATGAGCAGGTAACGTTGCTCCATCTCCTTTTCAGACAGCAAAACCCTCCCCAAGCCCTAATTCAAGCCCTTGTGCTCTCAATCGGCCCCCTCATACTTGGCCAGAACAGCCAAATGAGACCAGGCGGGAAGAGATCGCCTCCAGGCCTCGCCTTCCCCCGTGCCGGGGACTTTTCCCCGCTCTTCGCCCGGGATCGCGCGCGGGCGGCGCCCGCAGCGCCCTGTTGCCACCTGGCGGCCTCACTCCCCTCAGGCCGCCTCAGGGAGCGGGCGGCAGGCAGCACCGGAAGCACCGCCCACCCGGCCGCGGGGGCTCCTGGGATTTGTGGTCCCCGCGCCGCCCTCCTGCCCGTGCCTGCGGCGCCGAGGGACTCCCTCTCCCAGCAGCCCTCGCGCCCGCCGCGCCACGCTGCTCCTCTGTCCGCGCGCGGGCTGCCGGGATGCGTAGTCCGCACGGGCGTGCTCAGCCAGCAGCGCAGCGGCACGGGGACTACGACTCCCAGCAGGCAGCGCGGCGCGGCCTCCTCCCCGCCCGGTGCCTCCTCCCCCGCCGCGCCGCGCCCGCCCCGCCACCCCCGGCGCTCCCGCCGCCGAGCTCCG